GCATCGCCTGCAGGCTTGAAAGCATCCTCGGCCATTTCCCTGAGGTCGCGCCAATGGGTCAAAGTGACCTCTCTCAATAATGCTTTCTCCATGCCTTTTGCTCCGCTGTGCTGTTGGTCAGCCCACCTGGAAAGCAGATATATATGGGTGATTCGATTACACATCTCTCGACATCAGACATAGGATTTTGTTTACATGTTCACCTGGCCTCTTCAAAATCTTGTGGCGTCTTTCGTGGACAAAACATGTCCAAAGCGCTCCACGTCGTTGAAGCTGCATAGCCAAATGCATTGCCAGGTGGTGCTTCGGAAGCACGTGTTGGTCACCGTGACATGCCTGCAGAGCCGGCGCACAAGGCATAAACATGTGACCTTGACTGAGCAAACATCATACATAGACCCCAAGGCCAAGTGATATGTTGTTGCAAGAACATGTTACGCAGCAACGGGCCTTGAAATATTTCAAGTGGGCTTCGATCTTGCTCTTCAATTCTGCTGGAGTGATGGCCCCCACAACTGCAGGCTTCAAGGCATCCAGGACGTCGCAACAGAGATAGTAGCTGTTGATGGCCAGCTGCAATTCATGAGGGGGGTCTCGGATCATGTTTTGTAAGTATGACCGGAGTACTGGGTAAATTGCCAGAGCATCCGAGCTGCTGCATTTAAACTCTGAATCCGTTCCTTTTTGCTTTTGGAACACCACCCTTGCAGAGCAGGATTTGCCCCCGTGAATTTTAGGCCAAACGAAAGCTGTAGAGAACTCATGTAAAGCAACTTGCCTGAATCCGTTGCTCTGCAGGCAATTCATGAGAAGGCCTGTTTCTCTGTGCCATATTCCTGCCACTAGGTACACGTGCATACTGTCATAACAAGCCACTGAGACTGGCCTGAGGTGTTCTCTTAGAGGAATGTCCAGCAGCGCCCCATCTGGGCAATAATTCCATCCTAGCCGCGCCTCTTCATCGGCGAATTTCTTCTTGCTGAGTCCGGGCAAAGCTGCTTGATGCTGCAAGTGGTCAACGATAGCCCAGACGCTCTGGTCGGTCGACAGCGTGAAATTGTCACTGTTGTGTTCCGTATGCAGCACATACCTTGGAGGCAAGGGAGATGGAGCCAGCCGTTTGTGGCAAGTGGTCTGGCACATCATACAGAGCATACGCCCCGATGCCCCCTTGCACTCAAAGGCCTGCTTCAGCGCCGACTCATCTGCCAAGACGCCGCACAGTTCAAAACAGCAAAATTGAGGCTCGCCGCCCACCTGAAGAGAAATTCCCTTGCCCATGTGGCCACCGTCTTGGGAAAAAAAGCTTTATGCACTCACCAAACAACAAAGACATTCCACCTCGAATTTTGTTCACCGTTTCAGTTCTCACTGCCGTTAAGACTGTCCAGGCATGTTCCTGGGTGAGCTGCAAGCCGCCGTACTGCTTGGTTTGTAACTTTTAATTGATTTCAGGAGACACCTCGTCCATATAGAGGATCAATTGCCACTTGGAAGCCATGCTTTTGGGCTTGTTTCGCTGCGCTGTGTCAAGCAAACTTTGCATCCGTGGAAAGTTTCTGCTGCTGTGATATAAAAAAGCCGCAGGATTGCAGTATGGTAAGCTCACAACCTGGCCATCCTCCAAAGGGAGATCAAAATGACGGAGCAGCTTGCCATATGGTGTTTCCAGGTCCACGGCAGCGTCTCGCCGACGCTTGACCGTGCTCTTGGACGCTGCAGTTGGAACCTTGCCGGTTTCAGCAACTGCCTGCAGCACCTCAGCTATGCCAGCCTGGCTGATAAAGCTTCTGTTGCCAAGGCGACTGAGATCCAACGCCATGGCCAACCTATATAGGGGCGAGCAAGCCCGCTCCCTAGGCGCAGCGAGAAAAGCTCAGCGTGCGCAAACTCTATGTACGAGAAAAAACACAAGTTTGGACGGCATGACTATACGTACATGTGCTGCAGGGCAATGTATGGTGACACCTGCAACCATATGTGCAAAACAACTGTATATACATGAAACCAAAGAGATGTCGCATACAGGTCTAAACATCACAAGATTTAAACACGACAGCGAAGTGATGGCAATCATTACATGCATGGCAGTTGCGGGATCTATTGGTACAAAGCCTCAACTCATCTCGGCTCGAGGCAGGACAGTTGGAGGCCGACGAAAGGATGGTGAACATCAAGAACTTTACAGAGCAAACAGCAGCAGGCAATGCAAAACTCTTTTTCTCCCCATGAACCGAAATGACTTTGCGCCGCGGTGAAGCGACCAAAGTACAGCCCTGCGCAGGGCTCCCCCTAATCCTGTTCGGACAAATGGGTCACGAGCCGTTTCCAGGCAACGTGAGGATCAACTGCTTTCCAACTGAAAGCCTTGTCATTCCTCTCACCACTTTTGCGCAAACGGTAGTTGGAGCTCTGTGGGCAAACATAGATGATATGACCACGTGCGTGGATCGGCTCTTGTGCCTTCGTGCCCGGACATTTCAGGCGCAAGGATCCTGCTTTGGCTTTAGCAGCAGCTTTCCCCTTTGGTTTTGCTCCACTCTTCACCTTTGCCTTTGCCTTCGCTTTAGGCTTGCTCTTGCCGGACGGAGCTCCAGCTTTCGGAATGGGTGGTGCCGTAGTGCTAGGCTTTGGCAACTCCAACAGCGCAGCTTCTGACTTCTTTTGCTCTGCAACCTGGCTGGGTTGATCCTGAGCAGCTTCCTGTTGCTGAACTGGTGAAGCTTCAGGTTTGACGGTAGCAGCAGGCTCTGCAGTCCGATCCATGATGGCCGGAGCTTCTGTCAGCGGCTTCGGCTTCTCAGGCTGGTGTGGGTCAGCGGCCGGTTGGCCATCCTCGAGCATCTTCCTTTTCTTGTTCCACTGGAGTACTGCATTTTGGGCGTTTTGGAATCCTGCAGACTGGAAGTTCATCATGTTGGCCATCATCATAGCAAGGGGCTCCCAGCCCATGGCCTGTGGAGGCACATTGGCACCCTGGGGTGCAGTGTGGGCACTGTTTGAGGCGCTGGCACCACCTTTGCTTTTCCGCAGCTTAACACTTTTGGTCATCACAGTGGCCTCGTCCAAGTCATGAGGAAGCTCGTCCCCATAGGCCTCCTTGAACCAGGGCAAGTCCTGTGGGTGGATGGGGAAACTCACCCTATGGCTGCTGACCAAGACTGGTCGTTTCTGAAGCGAGTGCTTCAACCGTCTCTTGATCGCCACGGATGCGGCTTCATCCTCAACCTGCAGCCCGGCCGCCTGAGCGGCTTGGAGGATTTTGCCCCAGGTCTGTTCTTTGGGCAAGTGGAGCCCGACCTTCTGCAGCCTGCTCACAATGCCTGCCGGGCGATGTGCGCAGCCAGGATGCTGTCTACAGTGCCACCATATGACCAAAACAACATATCTTATCTAAACAAAACAATTTCTCAAGACACGCAGGCCCAAGCGCAGTCGAGCTTGATGGTGAGGTCCTCGCGAGGGTTGGACAGGATCTGCACATCTTTGGCACTGAAGTAGTGCGCAAAAGTGTTGATCACCTGAGTCTCACGTTTCGGTGAATTTTTGGATCCTGATGAGGAGAGCAACACATCGCTGGCCCACTTGCTCAGCTCTTTCTTCTGCTCTGCTGTCCATGGTCCTCTTGAGACCAGCTCTGTGAAGGCCGTGGCGCCAGCAGGATCGCAGAACAAGTTGTCCCTAGACAGGATCTGACGGACATGGTGGCTCATCAGCGTCTGCAAGCCTGCAACATCTAGAACCTTCTTTTGATTTTCAAAGAAATCATGAAGGCCCTGGACTTCCTCGAGGAATGCTTGCCATCGCTCCGACATGGTGGCAGGTGAGGGGGCTTTCACAGATGCAGTGGACCAGTCATAATCTAAGCCAATGTGGTTTCATGATTCCTTGCGTTGTTGTAGCTGTGGAAAACATGTTGCTGCTATTCACATGTGCAGGCTGAAGGAGCCACACACATCAAGGCAATCTATCCTGGAAACATGCAGGGCTTTGCTCGCTGTTTGCGCCGAAGTTGGGTTGCACTCGCCGGTGCTTGAGAATGCTGAGGTGTGTGCGATTTTGTCTTCTTCGCGCGCATGTGTTGCCCTATAGTATTTACAACGCAGCCCAACAACTTCGAACGCTACCCTGAAGCTACGCTGCCCTGTACGCATGGCCTTGTTCACTCAACATTCATGATGAATGTTCTGTTGCTGCAGCTTCATCTGCAGGAGCCGCCTCAGCTTCATGATGCTCAGCATGGTCGTCACCCTCAGCATGGTGGTCATCACCAGCCAGCGCCTCTATATCTCTCTCGGCTCTCCTCTTCGCCCTGGGCTTGGCCCTTTTCTTGGGGGATCCAGGCTGGTGATCTGTAGATCGTTTCAAGGCTGTAAGCACAGCCTTAACAGCTTCTGCACTGAGTTCAATCCAAAAAGGGCCTTTCAAGGCAAAGGTGGCTTTGACCATCACCCCAGCGATGGTGATGTTAACACATCCTCCGGGCACGAAGATGGCATCACCATCAAGGGCTGGGCGGCACTTGCAGGCAGCTGCATCCTGCCCAGCGGCTGATATGGCTTGTAGCTGTACTTCATGGAAAGCTTGGTCGCAGGCAGCCTTTCTGGCTCGCTCTGTGCGCAGCCAAAATCTTTTCTTGGTGACCCTGACTCGCTCACGGTTCTTGTGTCTGTTTTGGCCACGGCCAGTCACCAGCTTGGTCAACACAGGGTCGTGTTTGTCAAGCTTAAAGTAGCTTTGGTTTTGCGCAACCTTGGTTGAGGGATACCACACAATCTTCCCAACCATGATCTGAGCAACTTCCTTGACTGAGACCACATTTCCTTCATCACCAGATGCACTGGCACTTCCTTCATCGCCCGACATGGCCCAATGGAGATTGCAGCACTGCAGTCTAAGGGCAGCGCCAAAGGGCAATACCTAGGTTGTTTGGGCCTATATGCACATTAAGCCCGGGATAACGGCATGCGAGCAATGCCCTGCAATGCCACCGCATGCAAGCAAAGCCCTGCACACGCCCACAACTTGACCAAAAGCATATTGTAAAAGCATGCTGAATTCCCACACATGTCGGGAGCACAGCCATGCCTTGGGCCTGGAGCTCAACGTAGATCTCAATGTAAAGTCCTGGAGGGGCAGGTGTTGGGGCATGCTGTACCGAGGCTCAAAGACATGGGTGGAGGTCATGTTTGAGGTCATGATGATTGAATTGTATAGTCATGGTAGTGGCAAGTGACAACATGTCAGGGCCTATGAACATGATAATCCTGACGCGTATTGTGAATGGTTTTGATAATAAACAAATTTAAGATCATCATCTATGGTTTCGACCAAAATGTGAATGCACAAAACCTGATGATGCAAAGTTGTGGATCCACAAACTTTGGTGATCCCACAATGTGGATCCACAAAACTGTCCTATAGTGATATCATAACTTTTTGTGGACGCACAAATCTCCATGGTACCGTTTTGTGGATCCACAATTGTGCATCATCAGTTTTTGCGCGTCCACAAAAGTGCAAATTTCAACCGTGAATCTTTCGACCCGTTCCGAAAAAAAATAAGGGGAAACGCTGCCCAATTTTTCCCAGACCCTTTTGAATTATGAGCGTCGAAAATTGCAAAACCAGAAATTCCAAGATTGGCAAACCTTGAAAATCAAGCCACAGGTTCATTTTTTTCAACCTCTCAATCTCTGATTTTTCAAGTCCATTATGATTCTCAATCTCTGATTCTGTACTTAGAGCATTTGCGGATACACTTGTTGGAAGCGTACTTCAACATGGAAAACCATTCGTAGTTACCTTCTGAAAACACACAAAACACTGGTACGCACGCACCCCTTCCCCAACTTCGCCGTTGGACCCACGCCTTGTTTGTTTTTCACTCACGCCGCTGTTGTCAGGCGGAGGATGGAAAGGATAGTACGCCGACCCTTTTGCATACAATCATCAGAGTTGACATTTCGTGCAAACTATAGAGTAATAACAAGGAGTTCGGATGTCACACCAATATCATAAGGGTCACTACCTTCATCCAGCTGGGCTCGAGGCAATGGCAGTGAGGCCAACCAGATGTCACAAAACTTACAAGTAACCAAGTAGCATGAAAATTAATGTCTGGAACACATTATGGCCTCACACAAAATGAATGTGAATCTGGAACCGATTCAGATGTAGTAAACTATGGAGACACTTTTGCGGTCTGTTTCAACCATGAAAGCCATCATAATGAATATTGAGCATGAGGCAAAACCCATGTAGTATATAAGATCGACAAG